TCTGCGTAAGGAAGGAAATGTTAAAACCGGCCTATTCATTCAGTTACAGATTGTACGAGTTAGTTAAAATGACGTCGAGAAATGGTACATTGCGGAAAAATGCGAAGTTTTGGTTTGATCACTTCCAAAATAAATGGGAGAAAAACCGAAAGAGTCACTAAAACTGAGCACCAGCTGTTCGTCCGAAGCAGGCTCTACACAACCGATGCTGGCCGTCAAGCAAACAGTTCAATCTAGACCAGTTCAGAATGCGTCCATATCGTTGCCATGTGGGATAATCGGCAACTTATGCATTATAAACTACAGAAGCAATGGACACAAATGCTTCTTGCACCAACACTACCATTAATCAAAAACCGGATTCGCTGCATATGAAAAAGAAATGGCCTGAAATTCCTCACACGGTTCCACCAGTGGAATTACCCAAAGGAAAACAAATCTCACATCATTCGCAAAGAAAAACGGGAAAAACCAAATTAAAAAGAACAGCAAAACTCAAAACAAAAAGAATAGCAAAATTCGCTGCCATATGAAAAAGTCAGCCAAAGCGGCTTCAGATAACCCAATAAAAAGATGAGCAAAACCGTATGGCTAAATAGGTAATAATTCCGGACGAGCAGTGTTGGAAGAAATTCAGTTTTTTGATAACTACAATAAATCTTAATTAATCGGTATAGCGAGAAGAATCTGACGTTTCTTTCGATCCCCCTTAGCCCTCGGAAAATTCAGCTGAAAAACGATTTAAAATTCGAATTTCTACCAACACTGTTCGGTAGCAGAGCATCCTCTCAGTCGTAATTACACCTGTTTCATCAGATGGCTTCACCGCAATGTCTATGTCAGCGACGCACATAACTCTGCATCGGCGAGCACACTATTCTGTAAATCTGGGTAGTCTTCCGCAATTACCTGCAAAACATTAGGCTCCACTCATACTAAAAAACACTTTCACAAGAAAACACAAAGTGCAAACGTACAAGAGGATTAACTGGCATAACCGGCAGTTTAAGCAAATGTCTAGTGAAAGAGTACCAATAAAATCTCAGCATAGCAACAAATGCTTTTACGGTTGTAAGAAGTGGGTTGGACCTGACATTCAGCGCCCACAACATTGCCGCAGTGCCAATTACCTAGGCCGTTCCGCAAATTTTTCTCTGAAGTTCAGAAAGAAGAAGTCTTAACGAATGAGATGAAACGTACGCCTTCCACAGTAACCGTCCCAATTTTTCTGTTAATAGATTCCATATTTTCTGCACTGGATGACGTTAGCTTAGCCCGCAAAGCTATAGTTGATGCCAGCTCAGCCTGCGAAGCCATGGATGACTCCAGCTCGGCTTGCGAAGCCACTTCCTTCTCATCAATGTATGATTCAAGCATCCACATCAAATTATCATTACCAAACAATGGTACCAAATTCCTGAAACACATGAGTATTTGTGCCGGGGAGAACAAACTGAACAGTGATTGATATAAGTTCTAGCGAACTGCTGCACACGTAGAAAGACTGCAGAAGACAAAAATTTTGTAACGCCGTTTGCATCCTCAATTTTAGAAAGCCGTTATACAGAACCAGGACGGCCTGCCCACTTCTTCAGTGACACATTGCTGAAGACAGTGTTGCATGGAGACGAAACTTAATTCCTCAAGAATGCGGAAAAGCAAACATTAGCTGCAACGAAAACGGCAGTGGAGCGAAGATACTTGGAGTATTTGTGACCACAGTGCATTAAGACTCATTGTCTAATGAGTGTGGCTGGCAAAATGTCGTCGCGACCACACCTGCACCAGACTAGCCGGTGCGATCATACGTTTTGTGCTATTCCGCCCACCGAACGATTGCATACTAATGACCTTCATTGCTTTGTACTTTAATCTGTGCAAAAATAGTTGAAAAGTAGCTACAAATTTCATGCACCGGCGCATGAAAGCTGAAATTGAAAACTTGAAAGTGAATATTCTTCAGTGATACCCGAGATAACAGTTTACCGGCTAAAATTTTCACGAGGCCGTAAGTGATACTTGAGAGTGCGGGAACGCTGAATTTGAATATGCAAGGTCATACGCGGGCAGCAACCCTAAAATTTCAGCTTCCTAGACTCCGTGGTTCCCGAGATAATAATTTACCCGTCAAAAATTTTCACGGGGCTGTACATGTTACCCGCAGGCAGCGGAAAGCTAAATTTAAATTTTCTGGGTAACACAGGAGGGAGGGCATGCCCAAAAAATTTCAGCCTTCTAGCTTTCGCGGATCCCGTGATAATAATTTTACCCGCCCAAACTTTTGCAGGGCCATACGTGTTACCGGCGGGTACAGGGAGGCTGAATCTAAATTTGCGGGGTCGCATGTGGATGCGGAACGTTCCCCGAAATTTTCAGCTTCACAGCTTTCGTAGCTACCGAGCTGGAAGTTGCGGATAAGTTGCTACGGACACACACAGACAACCCCGTGACAACTTGCGTTTTGTACTGCTGTTACACAGCAAAAAACGCATAAAAATCCACTAGGCACGACATGTTGATCGCATTTACTAGTTGGAGGTAAACGTCGCAAGCCAATGATGCCACAGGAAAACGACTATCCAAGGAATACTCGAGCAGACAGTGTGCATATCGAACAGGCAATGGGCACTAATTGCAGACAGCACAACTCAGAATCGATCTGCACTCGGCCCGACGAGCAATTCATTGCGGTAATACTAAATCCCTGTATGAACCTCCGTTATTCCTGATAAAGAATATGTAAATATCACAAGTGGCTCTCAGGGATACCGAAAAGCGTGACGGCCACAACACTCCTCGACGAAAACTAAATTAAATTTTCACTTTTTTGAATGAAAAATCAGTGCCTTAGAAGTTTTTCAAATCATATTTTGCGTCCCAGTATCAATCCAAAAGAACAAGTTGATAATAGTATCAATCCAAAAGGCCCTTTCAAAAATTGCTAAAACTCAGTAGGAAAGCCATAAAAAGCTGTAGCATCGTCAGTAACGGGTAATAACTGTTGAATCAACCAACTCTTCAACGCGCCAGACTGATTTGTTCGGCAATCCTTTGGAAAGATGGTTGTCCTCTGCAAAGTGCAGCCTAAGCTGTAGCAATCCACCGAAATCGCCTTTCCCACACACGAAACACCGGCCATTGTAAGACTCCTTGCGTATGAAATTGATCATGCTCATGCGATCGTACACATCGAACTTCTCTTTTTCGATGATCCCAAGAATATCAAAATGATGCCGGGTCTGCAATG